TGGGGCTAGCCATCCCCATGCTTGAGGTATTCTCACCCCACTCCAGGCCAGGTGGCAGAACACACACATACATACATACACATACATACATACATGCATTTTATATTTGCTTTTGAAATGAGAGAAAAGCAACTAAAAATAAATGCTTGTTTTAGTATGTAAAAATAGAATTTAGTTATCTTAATGTAGCTTTAACTGAAAGTGAAAATCTGAAAAATAAGTTATAGGCATGAAGTCCAAGGTAGCAATATTATATTTAATCTATCTTATAGATATTCTTATGATTACAATACAATATGTTGCCTGCATCACATTGTAGTTCTAACACTTTATATGATGTTGAATACATATATTCACAGTAATGCATTTTAAGATTACTTTTTATGAACCATGACATTCTATCATAATTTTACTGGGGTTATTACTACTTGTTTTTTAAAAAGTAAAATATGTCTTCAGATTTAATGAAAATCAGTTCTGTTAACTGAGAATGTTAAATTTATGATTAAACCAACTTTAATTTCACAGCCTTATTCATATATCATTACTGATTTTAATGGATTGATTCTCAGTAAAGGTGTTAACAATTGCAATCATATTTATTAAGAATGCATTAAGGGCCCGGTTTCCTGGCTATATTGATACCTAAGTTTATAATTTTCTCGGCTGCTATATAGGTATATATTTATTTTTGTATTATGTTTGTATTGTTTTTAACTGTTTTATGATCGTACGCCGCCCAGAGTCGCTTGTCTGAAATGGGCAGCTATAGAAATTGAATAAATAAATAAATATTTCCGTTAATCATTTATATAATAAATCAGTGAGCTTCCTCACTTAAACATAATATAACAGGCAGCTAGAATATTGTACTTCTTTAAATTTCAAAACTAATAATTACTAGAAAGTTGGATGCAGAGCACTGTGAAAATATAATGTAAATCCTTGTCACATACTGCATTTTATCAACATATTAAAGTGTGGTGGGTTTTTATTTTGTTTTCTTTTTTGTGCCTGTGCTGATGCTCCTAGTTGCAGCTTTTACAATTGTTTTGAAATCCTCATGCTATTTGTTGTTTGTCCAAATGCTGCCTTCCTGCTAGGACTTCTAGCTGCAGAAAGTAGGTATCCCTTTGTTTTCCTCTAAAGCTATGCACTTAGCTGTTGTGTTTGGCTTTGCATGGTTAAATCTGCTTTTCCCTTGCTTACCATATCCTAGTTTTAATACTATCTAAACAATTAAAGAACAAAGATATAGTATATTTTTATTTCAATATGCTCATGGTTTAGAACATGAATAGAATTATTTGTTTCAGAAATTTGATTTGAGGGAAGAATCCTTTTCCAAATAAGGCTGCAGCATCTGCTCATGATAGAAGCTCTTAGAGATTCTCTTATAGGGCATGAGAAAGAAAAGCACAAGTCTTTATGGAAAATGGTCTTGTTTTCCTAGCCACTTACATATCCAGTTTATACTCTGATAATCCATATCTTAAGGGCAGACATAAAGGGAATATGGAGTCTTTGTTACTTTGACATTTCTTTTCATATAGTGAAGATATTCAGTGGATCTAGTTAGGAGACATTGGAATTGTCTTTGAATTCTAATTATTAATACTATATAAATGTTTAATTGTTTCATACATATTATTGACTACAGAACAACATTCATAGAAACTATCAATTTTTATGTATTTATTGTTATTCAATTTATATACCACCCAACCTCCAATGACTCTGCGTGGTTCACAAGTAAAAAAAACATTAAAAACAAGAGGGAAAATGCCATAATAGACACAAATAAAGGAGGCAAAGATGGCAAAGATGACAAAAAGTGAACAAGAACAAAAGAAACAAACCTACACAAAAACCTGTATATATGTATTTATATACACATATGAACAATTGAGCATTACTTCCTGGTGTTTATAATTTCATGATTTAATCCATGTATTAGTTAACTTGTTCATTTTCTTACCAAAATCTAATAAAAAAGCTTTGTTAAAAGTATTAATAAATTATTATTGAATCCCTTCAATATTTATTACTGACCAGTAATGCTAGAGATTGTGCAATACTTATGTAAAATATTCTTGATATGGCTTTGATCTTTGATGGAACAAGAGGATCATAACTGAGAAACTTTCAAACATATATTCACATATACTGACCATAAAATAAAAATAGTTAGAATCAGAAAAGCCATACCAGCTTGTGTTAAATCTCTATGTCTGTGAAAAGCTAGTAATAGTCTTGAATAAATAACATTTATATGAGCGGTATGAATGTTAACAAAGTGGATCTTCCACATTTATTCCTCAACCTATTTTTTGTATCAAAAATATTATTCATCATATCTACTTAAATGGAATATAATTCTTTCATCTGAGATCTGGGAACAGTTCTATGTTTCTTTACTGTCTACATGCAGCATTTCATAATATATTCTATTTGAAACCTCTGTTCAGAGCTATTAATGAGCACTACTGTAATTGAATACAATTGCCCAATTAATTTGATACATCTAAGGAAAAATGTTAGGAAATCTTGTTAAAAACTTTGCTGAAATCAAGAAATACTTTGTCAACAGTATTCCTATAATCCAGTGATGCTTACCAAAAAAAAAGAGGAAATAAGGTTGATTTGATATTATTTACTCCTTATCAGTCTGATTGGTTTCTCGCAATTGTCTTATTCTCTAAAAGCTCACATGTTCATATTTAATCTGTTTGGTTCATATCCAGTTTTGTGGATTTTCTTTTCCTCTTTTTCTGAGTATAAGGACACCATTTGTCCATTTCCATTCTTTTAGCAGTCTTGTATTCTCCCAAATTTCTCAAAAATTACAATCTATGACTGTGGAAAAAAATTGAAAATATTTTCACTTTGATACTTAACTCATTTAAAAGAGTAAGTTGTTTGTTAATTATCTTCTTTTTCCTGGGCTTCAGGCCTCACTTTTATCATTAGTTCTACTTATCCTAGTTGAAATCCCCTTGTGGTATAGGTAAAACACAAGCAGAGAACTTTCACTTAGGAGGCTTCTCCCTACAGGATTGAAAGACCTATTGTTGTATTACCAGTCTCTGCCATAACTTGATTTTTTCTTTTTCTGTTAACCAGGACTATTAATAGTTCAAAGGTTTAATCACAGTCAAAATTTATTTCATCTAAGCTGTATTGGATATGTAACAATATGTTTTTGCTTTTACAATCATTACAATTATTGCCAGATTACCTTCCCATTTTAACAATTACTTGTTGAATCCCCATTTTTCTATCCCACTTCAGAAGAGAAGCTCAATCACATTGAAACTGTGATAATCATGATAACAAAAAAAAAGATGTATTTTTCTTTTAAATAATCAGTATGTCACTCTATCCAAATAATTGTATATATAAAACTAGCTATATATGCCTTGTGCATCTTTGCCTGTCTTGTCTGTGTAACATAGCCCTACCTCTGCTTTGATAATATTCTGGCTCCCAATATAGCAAAGATACTTTAGGTATCTTTGCTATATTATGAGCTTTAGGATTAAGTCATACTGTCTCAGAAACCTCCTGGTATAGCCATACTGTTTTCTTTAGATTCCCCAAATCTCCTTTAAATAAGAAAAGTTTGCAATTATGTCCTCTGTTTTCTGGCTCATCTACCCTTCTGAACTTTTATTTTCCTTCAGCATTTTTGCAGTCCGATTTTTCTCTGAGGTTTTTGAAATTAATTTGTCTCAGATAAGTGTCCCATTAAGCTCTGTTTTCCAGTTTTGTCTGGAACTTCCAAACTGATATAGTCAACATCAGTAAGTTTATCATACAAACATGCAATATGAAATTGTTTGCAGAGTCACGTTAGTCTTATAACTCAATGTCTAGCTTCTGGTCCTAAAACTGGGACTGATGAATTAAGAACTCCCTTCTGAAATTTTTTCAAGGGTATTCTTCTGTTTTGTTTTGCAATGAGCTTAAATACATATCTTCATGATATTGATAATTTTCTGTATGACATTGCATCTTTTTTTTCAAAAAGATAAAATCAATAGGTTCAAAATATGATGTCGGCCCTTTGAGATCAGGAAACTGACACCGCATGGACTACCAGAACTCTACTTTATTGTTATAAGAAGTAATAACAGAATCTTGAAAGCCTGTCAAAGATTCTCTCTCTCCCCTCTTATACTAAAGAGAATCAAGGTAGAGCAATTTGAGCTTCTTCTCGGCTCCTCCCGTCTGTCTGGGCTAAGCTGATGTTTACTTAATGGTTGTTGAATTCCTTCTTCAAGGTCATCTATAGATGGCAGGCACTATACTTTGCCCTTTGAACATGATTATTTTTTCCTTTAAATGCTAGATTCAAATTAATTTAACACACTGCTTTTGAAATACTTCCATCATTGAAAAGAAGGTTGCATTTATTAATGTTCATATTTTACTCAGTGAATACAGTAAAATATGATTGTTTGACTTATTTCTCCTAAATATTTTTCTTGTTTCTTTTTTCCCCCTGTGCTTGACAATAGGAGCAGTTTCACAGGTGTTAGACAGCCTAGAAGAAATCCATGCACTTACAGATTGCAGTGAAAAAGACTTAGACTTTCTGCATAGTGTTTTTCAGGATCAGCATCTTCATACATTACTAGATGTAAGTATTTTTTTTCCTGCCAAAAAAAAAGGATTATTTAATTTTAGCTATAATTAAAAAAAGTAAAGCAAATAAGAAATATCAAACCACTTCAAACTCATTGATCTTAGGCCAATTCCAGTTGTCATCTTTAAAGCCCTAAATGGGTTAGGGTCTGGATATATTTGAGACCACCTGCTCCTGGTGGAATCTACATGTCCAGTGACAGAAGGTTTGTTGACGGTCCCACAGCCAAGGGAATCGGGTCATCTTCAGGGACTCCACTGTCACAACTTTTTGGCAATACCTTCCTCCTCTAAAACAACTTTCTCTGGGTATTCAGATTGCCCTCTCACTGTTAAGATTTTAAAGACCTTGAAAATCTTTTGCAGGTCATTTGGGGATCAGATGATAAGTTATGCCCCCGAGGTATAGGCACATTAGTATGATATTATGAGGGTAATAATGGGTGGTAGCTATATTTTTCTTCTTTGTTTTTTACTGTTTTAACTCTAGTTTGTATATGGTATTTATAAAATACTCAGAGTCTCTGGATTGGAGTGATATATAAACCAGAGTAAATAAAATAAAATCATAAATAAGTGCTTTGCAATACACAAGACTTCACAGTGGCTGCACATACATTGGTTTCTATGTGATTCAGAACCTGACATGTGGGAGCCAGTCATGTACATGCAAAGACCTCTACAGTGCTGACAGGTACACTGTACACCAACATCTACCATTTAAGTGACATCTTAGCACAACTTTTATAGGTGAAGGTTAGGCTCATCCTTGTTGGAATGATGAGTTTATTTCTTTAAATTATGTGAAGAAGGTGGGTATATTCAATGAATCCTTGGCCATGGAACTTAAAAAGAAAATCTGCCACTTTCAAAATACACCAGTTCCAGAATTAAAAAAAACTTTTCCTCTCAAGCAAAAATGCAGGTGGTGGTAGGTCACTCAATAAAACATTTGAAATGACAGCTCAAGTACCTGTCCTTAAGTTCTTGCATTTTGGTTGGCCACCTTGCTGAAGGAAATATTCCAAGAGTGAAGTCTGTAGAAATACTAAGAAACACATTTGCACTGCAGTATATCTCTTAAATGTGGATACTACAAATTGCCACCAGAGAAAATTTAAGATTAGGTGGCATTGCTTATTTCTGATGTGTCTTTATATGGAGCTGCATGAGCAGGCAAGAAGTGGTTAAGTACCTGAAAAAAATTAAGTGGTTATATTTTCTACAGTTAGCTATAGAAAATTATGTTTATAGCATAGTAGATGTTGATGTTTTTTAAGTGAAATTTTCAGAGATCTTTTCTAAAATAAGCTGATAAAATTATTTTTGAATATAGTCATGCTATGTTGTGTGCTTTTGTTACAGCTCTATGACAAAATTAATACAAAATCTTCACCACAAATCAGGAATCCACCAAGTGATGCTGTACAAAGAGCCAAAGAGGTAATTTTAAAATAGTTTAAATCTGTTGTGTACAGGTAGTCCTCGCTGAACTGGATGGTTCATTCAGCAACCATTCAAATTTACGTTGGTGCTGAACAAAGCAACTTACGACTCATGCCCAAAGTTACAGCCATTGCAGCACCCCCACGGTCATGTGATTGTGGTCTGGGTCCTTGGCAATCTGTTTGCCCTGCAATCATGTGATCACCATTTACAATCTTCCCTGCTGGCTTCCCCAGAAAGTCAATGGATTTTGACACAGGGCGTTTTCAGCCAGCCTCCAGAGTCGAGAGAATTCTCAGCACAGAGCTTTTTCAGGCCCCCCCCCGCGGCGCAGAAGGAGACAGCGGGCTGGGGGTAACGCCCCCCGGTGCTCCCTTCATACACTTACTGGGGAAGGGGCGAGGGG